CCAGGTTGAAGGCTCATTAGGTTAGAGCAGTGGCTGCGTCAAAAGCGTACGCCGCGGCTCTGCCCATTGAGCAGATCTGCTCCGCGGCTATTTGGAGCCAGCCGAGCACGATTCATCAAACCTTACCAACTCGACAAACACTCAAGCGAGCGTACTCGGTTTGGTCAGTCAGTTCTCCGAACTGGGCAAAGTTCTAATCTCTAGCTGATTGAGCATTCGAGATTTTAGACAGTCTTCCGGTTATACTGCTCAGTAATGGTCCGGATTTTATCTTCTGCGGTCGATAAATATCAGTCCTTACTACTCGATAATACTCGTATTTTGCGCACGCACTCCTTCGATCCTCGGGGACCCTCTGGCCTAGCTCAGCGCTGGTTATGGTCTCTCGTGATCTACGCCCTTATATCACTTGTTCAAAAAAAAAAAAAAAAAAAAAAAAAGTGTAGGGGGGTGGGAGGTGTTTCGAGTTCTCAACTTATGACAAGCCGCAAAAACAGGCTTTATCATAATATATGGTCGACCACGCCCTGTCTCTAGCCCCCGCCTTTCGACGGTGGTGCCTCACGATAAGGTTGGTTCCATTTATTGAACTCAATATTTTATTCTGTTGAATAATCAAATACGATGTATTTATTTACGCCTGTTGCTGACGGATGCCACTTCCTAGATTATCTTTAGGAGTCTGTCTTGATGCAATAAGTGCCCCAAGGAGGATTTAATCAGAAAGAGAATTTTACAAACCTGTAGAGGTTATGAATTCTCTGATGAAATCCTCCTTGGGGCACGGCCACCCACCTCCCCACATTCCGTCAGCATTTGACATATGGAAAGTGATTTGGGTGAGAGTTGCTCCCCCTGGCGTGAGGCGCCGTTGGGGGTGAGGCCCCGTAAGGGTGGTCGTATATCATACAAAAACGAAGTTTTTTGTGTGGTAACATTTTTTATTAAGGAAAATGGTTACAACTATGTCATGTAGATTTTCTTGAGCAAGGAAAATGCAATAAGTGCCCCAAGGAGGATTTCATCAGAGAATTCATAACCTCTACAGGTTTGTAAAAATTTGTGCCGCTTTTGCATGAAACTTTCCATCTGGTTCGGGCAAATAGGAGGTTGTTATCAACCAGTGTTAACTCCCCTTGTTGGTTTTTTGACATTTGGTTTACCCGAGTTGGAATCGGACTCAATTATTGAAAACTTAGAAATTGCTGTTTTAAAAAAATTGATATTGAATCGATAATGGGTGTATTGTGTATCGTATTGTCAGGTGTAAATTTACAATGCTATGATGTTTTTTATGAATCGTGACATCCCTATCATTGTCTGTTCCTGTCTATATCATGTTAAATTGATGTATATTTTTGTTGATACCATGTATGTTCATCTTGGTTGTCACTTCTTGGTTTCTTACTTCTAAAGAGCGTCCATTAGCTTCAGCCTCTCAATCATGCTGTTGCATCATGCAATCTGTCGACAATGATTGTCATAAGTTTTAACGATAGCTAGTATAAAATTAGTTTCAACATTCTTACACAGCTAACTGTAGCTACATGTCACTTGCACTGGTATATCATTTCTCCTCCAATCCTATGAAAATCATATATTTAACTCTGATGTGATACCTCTCTAGGTGAAGATCTCACAAACTCTCCACAAGCTGCTACGTCTGGGAAACTTTCTAAACAGCCAATCATTATCAAGGCTATGAATTCTCAGTATGTGTGAATTACACATTCAGAACATATCTGATGTCTGTATATCGAAAACAAACTTAAATGTCCTGTCCTGAATGTATACTATTAAAGCCACGCAATGTTATATTGCGTATGTGATACACCCTTTCATTTCTGAGTGCCATGGCAACTACATCCAAAACGTTATCCAAGAGTATATTGGTGTTATCTTGTGTTTTGATGATTGAAACTTTCAAAATTGTGTTTAGTAAAGAAATGAAGCTGAATCCTTTTAAAAAGAAAGCTGACATCTGATTGGCTAAAAACCTGAGCTTCCTTCATTTTGATTGGGCAGTTACAGTTTGTGCTGGGCTCACTGATGCACCTTTCTATGAGGGTTGGCAAATCTTCACACAGAGGTTTCATGTCAGAGAAGATTTGATTTTAATGAGATTGTCTCCTACTCCAGTCAGAGGAAGATTTTTTTAATATCGAAAACTATTGTCTTTTAAGGACGGAGGAATATTCCGCTTTTTTCATGGGATGTTTATCAGAGATGCAGCATTAGTAAGATATAAATTGTGCATCTTGCTTTTAATATTGTTTATAACATTCATGTTTTTTCTGTGTGAGCTTCTCTCTCTCTTTCTTTTGCATTCATCTGTCAATATGAGTCATGTAATAGGCATTAATTTTTATTTTGTTAATCATGTTAGGGCACTCGTGACCTAGTTGTCTTAGCCGTTGCAATTCACTATGCAGAGCTGCTTCCCTTAGGCATACAAGCAATCTATTATTATCGATTTGAATCACCATTCACCCTGGTTATGCTAATACGGTTGTCAACATCATACACATTGATCTGGTCTTGTATAACTTATAAATGCCGAGACCTGCATCACTTTGAGTTTTCCTCATACACCAAGCTGACACGCTGTGATATAACTGAGATATTGTTCAAAGCGGCGTTAAACCCAACTCACTCACTCACTCACTATGCATCATTATTAGAATGACTCTGAGATGCTGTAATTGGTTGAATGTACATGTATGTATGGACTTCAATTTCAAGAGGCTCTGGTGATATGCAATGGGTCTCGATGTGAGAGATTGTTTTTTACGTCACAGCATGTCTGGTGCGATGTGAGCATGTCACCTGATTAGGAAATGCATTAACTGAATGATCTGAGAGACAGTTGATAGGCTATGGAATCATATTGATCAAATAATGGGTGCTGTTATAAATATAAATCAATACAGTAAACTGTCACAATCTGAGTAATATGGAACTGATATAACCTAGCAGAAACTACTTAAAATAAGCTTGAACGATCTCATGTATACTTCCTCAATGAACTATTACCAATAATTCCCCCAAAGTATACAGAGTTTCCCATTGTTTGGGTGTTTCCATAAACAAACACGTCTGCAAATCATTTGGCACTGTATACTCTGATAATGGGGAGGTTCATTATTGTGAGATGGGGAAAGAATGTGCCATTTACCATGTTTACTTTAGTAACCATGGTAACTCTAACTTTGTCTTTATACCTGGTTTTATAGCTTCTTTAGTGAGTGGAAACATTTCTTAAACTTCTATTTTAAAGAATGATATATTTGATAAAAATATTATGACACTTTTGTGTTTCTGGATGGAGAGTATCCTTAGAAATACAGCAGCTAATACTTAGTGTTAACTTGTACATGGATATTTGCAATGTGGAAGGGTAGGGAAGGAGGATTTGAATTTTTTCATTTTATATCTTTAGCAAATTATGATCTGTAAAACTATAATAGGTAAAATATACCAAATGGCTTGTTTTTGCGATGCCCTCTGCAACCTGAAGTACGAAGAGATATCTTGAGGTCATAGGGACCACGCCTAAATTACCCTGTGATATCTTGACACATTATAAATGGCAATGCTGCGTGTGCAGTCAGAATATGGTGCCATATTGAAACTTAAGTTCTAAATGACCATTAGTAGCAGTGCTTAAAGATCAAAATCAGGGACTAAATATTGGCAGTGATATCTTTTGGTTTGTTAATAAACATGATAAATTTCACAAATTAGTCATTAAAATACTTATGGGAACCCTGAGAATCTGGTGTCGTAATATCTCTAGTCTACCATATTTCCCCAAAACAGTAATTCACTTCCAAACAATCAAGTTTTATCAGGACTAGAACAGTTGTTTGTTTTGTTATCATGGTTATTGCCATTGGATTGTAGTTGGTATTAACTGTATGGAATGCTCTGTGCATGGTACATTAATCAGGCTAACATTAATAACGGTTGCTATGCAACAGTGAAATAATGTGTGTGTTGTAGAAATACAGATATGGCAGTGACATCTAATAGAATGGCGTGTTACCTTCTTTATGATAAAATGAATTTTTGGAACAGATTCACTTTGCAAACATGACACAAATTAGCAAATGTGTTCCAAATATGTTTTATGAATTTCTTATGTACAGATTAAAAAAAGAAGTTTTTTTGAGTATCAGATATTTCATTCTTACTGGAATACTTTCTCACAAAACATTTGTTTAGTTAGTCAGTAATCAGTTGCGTATCAATCATGTGAATGTATCAACTGAAATACCTTCATGATGGTATCTGAAATCAATGGCCATTATCGTGCAAGCATGTCGTCAACATTACCAGCTAGAGGGTAGTAAGCAGGAAAAACAGTACATCTGAAGGCCAGACCACTGTAATACTTGCAGATAGACGGAGAAAAGAATAAAAATAACAATCGATCTTTAAATTAAAAAAATGAATGTAATTTCAAATAAATTACTGCATTGTGCCTATTGACATATTTTCTTGTATAAAAGACACAACAACCTTTTGGGGTCTATTTCTGGGAGGGGTTGGAGAGGGAACGCTATTAATTCACTTCAGGTGAATCTTTGTTGGACAACGCAGATGAGAACAAACAGTTAAGATGCCAGTGTAAATTTAAATATGAGATTAGAGGGTGGGTGAGTATGGTTTTACGCTGCTTTTAGCAATATTCCAGCAATATCATGGCGGGGGACACCAGGAATGGGCTTCACACATTGTACCCATGTCGGGAATCGAACCCGGGTCTTCGGCGTGACGAGCGAACGCTTTAACCACTAGGCTCACCGACCGCCCCTTTAATATATGAGATTAGATGTTTTTAGACATGGTAATGCCATGGGAGTTGGGGATTTAATAAGAGGATAAATGAGACATGGGTCTGTAAACAAAATAAAACATTGGTCTGGTCTAATGATGAATCTCGATATTCCTGCACATATTTACCACAATGTCAGTAAATTGTCCCATGTTCCCGCCAGGCCAACTGTGAGGCGAACGAGGTGCCGGTGTTCAACCTAGAGCAGCTGTGGCAGCAGATCCGAGGGCCCGCGTCCCTGGTGGAGCTGGCCGTGGACCAGAAGGCCACCAACTACCACCTGGTCCGCCACCACTACCACCTCGCTGTCAGCATGCACGCCGTCATGCTGTTCAACATGAAGTCAGTCAAGGTCCTCTCTCTGTTCGATACAAAGGTAAGCTAATGCTTAAAGGTCTCTGCCATGTTAGTAGTGTTATAAGTGAAGGATGAAAGTCAAGATGTCATTGTCCTTGCCCTTATGTAAAAGTTGAAGATTTAGGTTGTTCCTAGATTCAAACACTGCAGGAGGCACGGGTGGCCCAGTTGTCTAAGGTGCTGCATTTTGCTGTGCAGAGTTGCATCCCTTGGGCATGCCAGAAACCTACCGTATATCGCTGTGTATAAGGCGAGTTTTTCGTACCTAAAATAAGGGGGTTAAGACGGGGGGTCGTCTTATACACAGAGTCGAAGATCTCACATTTTTTTCCACTGGCGATGTCAACCGGCGTCCGATTGCCAGCCCAGCATTTGACAATAAAACTTCGAATTTCGTCCTAAATAACTGTTACAATAACTATTTCCATACAAAAACATGATTTGTATCTCTTTTCCTTGAATAAAGTTTAATAATTTCTGCAAATAAAGTTGAAATGACCCTCACCTCGATGCAGATTTTCTGACACGGTAAAACAATCAACATCCGTGAGTAGAAAGCCGGAAGTACCGGTAAGCATTTGCATATTGCACATGTGACCTAACATGTGATAACCGGTGAAGCTGAAATCAATTCCCGCTGTTTTTACAGTTGTATTAACAACTGTTGGAGACGGTGTGTATAAGTGATTGTGTAATAAACATGCAGAATGTGAAGCAAACATAAGCCTAGTTAGTTACAACATAGTTAATTGTCTTTTATATGTTATTACCTCATAAATGAATTTTATTTTACGGGCACCAATTTGGTGTCGTACCGTGTAAACACAAAATGGCAACATGTGCTGGAGTTACACACGCGACCAATCATCGTAGAAAAAACAACGCAAGATAAACATATTTTTATTGCATATTTAAGGTTTGTGTGCACACTTGTGATGTGCTTCATTCCAGGTCGTCTTATACACGGAGTATAGGATTTTGGGTTGATTTTGAAGGCGTGTACAAGGGGGGTCGTCTTATATGTGGGGTCGCCTTATCAAAGCCATATACGGTATATTCCATACCTGTGCTTGTTGGTTTCACCAAAGTGGTAAATGTGTAAGACTTGCAGGACTCTCCCACTCAAACACTACAGGAGCAAACATCATGGACCGCCTTAATTTCGAATATTGGTTGGTGAATGAGTGATAGGGGATAAATTTACTGTGTTTTCAAAGTAGAAAAAGGTTAAATTGAATTTGGAGCTGAACGGACAATGAAGGGGGCCCTGGGCCCTGTTGCACAAATCTATCTTAGCGCTAAGACGATCGTAACTCCCCAACTTTAACATAGGCTTATGATAGTCGTAGCACTAAGATCGCTTTGTGCAACATGGCCCTGGTTCTCTTCATCATTACTGCTTGTACAAGCCCCGGAACTGATGCGATAGATGGGTGTCTCCATGTTGTGTGTATTGTGTTCATCAGGGACGGAACAGCTTCTTCAAGGATCTGCACTCCCATCCTCTGCTGCCAAACCAGAATGTCGATTCAGCACTTTCTGTTTCCAGGAGGACGGTGAGTAGTTTTATGTCAATTCCAATTGACTGGTTCCCATTGACTGGTTCTCAAAAAATCTTGTTCATTGTCATATTGTTTTGAAGACTTACTTACAGTGGTGATGTTTTCTTTGTGGTAACTTTGACAGACACAATCAAATATTTATATTGTTTTGGTACTCTTAATGCCCACATCTATACAATCCCCGAATTCGGGAGGGTGGGAGTGTCCCAGTCATCTAAGGCGCCACATATGAGTAAAATTTTGTTCAAAGCAGTGTTAAATCCAACTCTCTCATTCAGATCCAGGGTGAATCTTTAGTGTGGCATATTTCCATGTTTGTGAAGCGAGTCTTAGGTTGGCATGTCCATAAACATAAGGTATAATGAGGTTTCTTCTCCATAATACTTGCAACCAAAATATATTGCTGATCTTGAGGTTAGATGCTCAAGGGCTAAGATGATTGAGGGAAAGACAGGGAAGCCACAAGAATGAACTGGTCCGCATCACTTCACCACGATGTAGCAGGGATGTGATGTCAGACAGGCTCCGTGTCCAATGGGATGCCATGTCTGCCATGAATTAGACGTTCGTCCACAGTTAAGAGATGCCATACTCCCGCACATGCATTTGTGGAAAACAAGAGGCAACGTTGTGAAATACAGCTGATGAATGGTTATACGATATATATGTATAGATACAGACAGCATGTAAACACTACAGGATAGCTACCAGTACTACTTGTGTTGTAGTTGTTGGTTGGTTGGTTTGTTGTTTAACGCTGCACTCAGCAATATTCCAGCTATATGACGGCGATCTGTAAATAATCGAGTCTGGACCAGACAATCCAGTGATTGATATCATGAGCATCGATCCACGCAATTGGGATCTATGACATGCATCAACCAAGTCAGCGAGCCTGTGTTGTAGTTATATGTTGTAGTTGTACGTGGTCAAGTGCTTAGCCTGCAGGTCATCACTGGTGGCAGAGTGTGGTGGAGGGGTGTGTGGTCCTGTGCTTAGCCTGCAGGTCATCACTGGTGGCAGAGTGTGGTGGAGGGGTGTGTACGTGGTCCTGTGCTTAGCCTGCAGGTCATCACTGGTGGCAGAGTGTGGTGGAGGGGTGTGTACGTGGTCCTGTGCTTAGCCTGCAGGTCATCACTGGTGGCAGAGTGTGGTGGAGGGGTGTGTACGTGGTCCTGTGCTTAGTCTGCAGGTCATCACTGGTGGCAGAGTGTGGTGGAGGGGTGTGTACGTGGTCCTGTGCTTAGTCTGCAGGTCATCACTGGTGGCAGAGTGTGGTGGAGGGGTGTGTACGTGGTCCTGTGCTTAGTCTGCAGGTCATCACTGGTGGCAGAGTGTGGTGGAGGGGTGTGTACGTGGTCCTGTGCTTAGTCTGCAGGTCATCACTGGTGGCAGAGTGTGGTGGAGGGGTGTGTACGTGGTCCTGTGCTTAGCCTGCAGGTCATCACTGGTGGCAGAGTGTGGTGGAGGGGTGTGTACGTGGTCCTGTGCTTAGTCTGCAGGTCATCACTGGTGGCAGAGTGTGGTGGAGGGGTGTGTACGTGGTCCTGTGCTTAGCCTGCAGGTCATCACTGGTGGCAGAGTGTGGTGGAGGGGTGTGTACGAGGTCCTGTGCTTAGTCTGCAGGTCATCACTGGTGGCAGAGTGTGGTGGAGGGGTGTGTACGTGGTCCTGTGCTTAGTCTGCAGGTCATCACTGGTGGCAGAGTGTGGTGGAGGGGTGTGTACGTGGTCCTGTGCTTAGCCTGCAGGTCATCACTGGTGGCAGAGTGTGGTGGAGGGGTGTGTACGTGGTCCTGTGCTTAGTCTGCAGGTCATCACGGGTGGCAGAGTGTGGTGGAGGGGTGTGTACGTGGTCCTGTGCTTAGCCTGTAGGTCATCACTGGTGGCAGAGTGTGGTGGAGGGGTGTGTACGTGTGCGTGGTCCTGTGCTTAGCCTGCAGGTCATCACTGGTGGCAGAGTGTGGTGGAGGGATGACCCTGTTCGACAGGTTCCACTCTTGAGTATGGGTACCTGGTAGGATAAGATGCTATGCACATGTAAACTTTGAGGTGTGCAGCCTGTGTTATATACTCCCCAGGGAGCTGAGAATGCTGATTGGACTGCATACTGATCCATTGACCTGGATCATGTGCTTTTAGCATACTCCAACATGGTATTATTATACTCACAAGCCCTTTTGCATCGGTCCATTCGTGCAAGATGTTGTTTACGTAGCAGATCTTGAAAAACATACAATATTTCTAGTGATGAACTTGTCCTTTTTGTCCCCCGCCGCGCAAAAGCGAGGAGTGGGAGATATAGTATTCACGACCGTCCGTACGTCCGTCTGTACGTCCCACCTGTTTGTTGCCACGATATCTCAAGAACTAAACACTGGATTGTCTTCATATTTGGAACTATGGTGTATATACAGACTCCACAGACACCAGTCGGTTTTGGTGACCTTGACCCCATTTTCAAGTTCACAGCAGGCAAATCTGCTTTTGGAGTTGGAAAACGGTGTTGCCGCGATATCTCAAGAACTAAACGCTGGATTGTCTTTATATTTGGAACTATGGTGTATATACAGACTCCGCAGACACCAGTCGGTTTTGGTGACCTTGACCCCATTTTCAAGGTCACAACAGGCAAATCTGATTTTGGAGTTGGAAAACAGTGTTGCCACGATATCTCAAGAACTAATCGCTGGATTGTCTTCATATTTGGAACTATGGTGTATATACAGACACCGCAGACACCAGTCGGTTTTGGTGACCTTGACCCCATTTTCAAGGTCACAGCAGGCAAATCTGCTTTTGGAGTTGGAAAACGGTGTTGTCGCAATATCTCAAGAACTAATCGCTGGATTGTCTTCATATTTGGTACTATGGTGTATATACAGCGGGGGACATTTCGTCACTTTGTGACAAATACTTGTGATAGTTTGGATTTTCAAGTGTCCATGGGGACAACTTTGACTTAGGCTGGAAATGTTGGTAATTCTCATTTCCAGAGCAGATCTTGAAAACCATACAATTTTTCTTTACCACACATAGATACCGGTAGGTCTAGGGGTTAACTTGAGCCTTTCGGTAGTTTCGGATTTAAAAAAATAAAATAGAAATTCAAGTTTCCATGGCAACCATATATGTATAAATCACTACTTGACATATTCCAACAAGTATTTACCATTGTGGTGGATAGAGATAACTTTGCCCTCTTGTTGTTGTTGTTATTATTATAAGTGTTTTGTTGCAGTTTCTGTGCAAGGTGATATCAGAGGCCATTAGTACCCTGGAGAAGAGAGGCGAGGATACCAGTGTCAGTCCCCGCCGACAACAGAAGACTGTCGCCTTCCGTTGGCCAGTGCTTGCTGTGGACCTGGGGAAGGACTTCGGCCTTGACATCGACTACCTCAAGCGACACCACGTGTGTCAGCTGTACTCTGCCGGACGCGACAAGCTAGCTGAGGAGGTGTGTACATAGGCCCACATTGTCGGTTTACTGTTACCATAGTTACCCATAAGTATTGGACAAATATTTTGTGTAGCATGATATATGTTAAAAGACTAATAGACACATTTGTCAACAAATACCAAATGTCATTCCTGTCCTTAGCAGGCAATGCGTAAGTGAGTTGGGTTTAACACTTTGAACAGTATTTCAGTAATATCACAGTTTGTCAACTGGATGTGGGAGGAGAGCCCGAACCGATGCAGGTCGTAGACATCTTACCACGTTGGTAAAACCCACGAGCATGGGTATGGTGCTGACAAACCTAGAAACATGATCAGGGTGAATCTGGGATTCAAACCCACAGTCATAGGTGTCAAGCATGCCTAAGGGACGTAACTCTGCACAGCGGTTTGCAGCCCCTTAGACGACTGGGCCACCCGTGCCCCTCCTTATTAGGCAATGCGTCAGTACGCTTCATGATAAGATCTTGTTCAGTTAGAACATTCCACCTGGCAATTGTAGAAAAGTCTCTGAGTCTCTGATAAAGTATAAAAGTTGTGACAGTCGTAGTGCCGAGAACATGAAGTCTGGCCTGGGTCTTATCTCCAACGGTAACAATGTAAATGAGTCTGTCTGCTATTTCTGAGACGAGTGAAAATCTTGAAGGACTGGTTGCGTCCCAAATCTAGTTTGGTTATATAAACCACAAGTCCAAAATGAGCCATGGACTAGTTGGATTTGACCCCAGCATTGTTGTTAGCAGGCTACAAGACTTAAAACAGGCTCATTGCAAGTGAAAGAGATTGCTGCTAGTGCCTTCATGATCTCAAAGTCTTTCAACTATTGAAACTGAGAATATTGATTTTGTTGAACTATCTAAAAATATAACCCTGGCATAAAACTGATTAAAACATTTATTTTGTAATAATGCAAATAATATACAAGAATAACAAACTAATGCGACAAAAACTGTGTTGTTGACACAAACGTTGCTGGTCAGCTTGGCTTGTCCTGATATGATAACCTTGCTTATGATACACTGATCACAAAACTATACATGTATTTGCAAATGGTGGTAGGCTTTAAACCAGCCAACTTTACTCAACCAGCCAAAGAAAGTAGGGGGTTGGGTAGTGCTTAAAAAATGTCCGCAACACTGAGATATATTGCTCACAAACCGATAACACTTTTCCCCTCAACCATCCTACCCCGCGGATTCCGGGTTAGAACAGGTCCCCAGTAAGTATGCTGGTCGTAGAGGCGACAGAATAAATTGGGTTGTCAGTCTTGGTGACTCGGTTGATGACATCACACTCAGATTGCGTGGATCATCAACAACTCAAATCGCTGGTCCAGACTTGATTATTTATAGGCCGCCATGATACACCTGGAATATTGCAAATTAAACTACAAACATCATTGTTACACCAACACTTTTGCCACTAGGTGCTGCTGACCGTCAATGACCACGAGCTGATGGGGTCACACCTGTTGCCGATAGCGGGTCAGCGAGTGGCCTACTTCCTGTTCCGGTGCGACCAGCCAGGGACGGTGAAGATCATGTCGGACATGTCCCCCTCCCTGTCCACATGGCTGAAGCAGCTGGTGAGTGACCTTTCGGGAGATTACATGATGGTAAGGCAATAAGGACTGTTTGTGTTTCTGTCATAGCCGACTAACTTCTCATTGCGCAGTGTGTGAGTTCTAATTTACTGCACCATAATTCATTGGACATTTTATTCCTGAAAACACCAGTTCTTGATGTGACACGTGTGGATTCAAATCACAACACAGTTGTAACTTGGAATATTTGCCGGACGTTAATGTAAGTTCATCATTATTTTGCTATATCATTAAGTAGCACCTACAAATGATTTCAGTCATTCTACCTGATCGTACATTGTATGATGGGTTTCATTTGGGGGGATCTTCCACTTGACCTTGCTATGAACATACATATAATAAGAATTTGTATATCGGAGATGCTTGAAAAGCATCTGGAATGTTTCACAAAAACTACCCCCAGGCGGGTTAAGAGAATCTTCCAAGAATTTTTTTATTTTCATCTTTTTTTTCAAGGTTGAAATCATATATACTATTCAAAAGAAGTTAAGGACTGCCAGATTCTGTCATATTACTATGACAGATTAACTATAGTAATATGAAAGAATGGGTGATTCTTAACTTCTTTTGATTAGTATATAACATTAATATGAATTCATTCCTCCTGCATTGGACACATGGTTAAACTGATAATACAACAAAAGCTGCTGATTGTATTTGCGACTTCAGTGAGTGTCTTGTTTGCAGGACCCCGAGGAGCTGGTCAGCCCTGATGCCCCCATGTCCGACACGGCCTTGCTACTAGAACACGTAGCCAATCAACTGCCGGAAGGTTACTCAGAGTACAATCTTGCAATCTCATTGGTGGAATTAGTACAATTGCTGTTATCCTCATCGTCAGAGACAGAGTGTTAAGTTTCTATTGGAGTGTTGGTGGACCTGTGGCTTTTGATTACGGAAAAACAATGTGACGTTTTTTCTTATTTTGCAAATGACTTGCACCCATTTTGTGATTCCTGAAATGCCTTTCAAATATTCATTGGGGACATCTCCTTGGCTTCAGAGTGTTACTGAAAATTAAGAAAGATGTATAGAGTGTGAGGCTAGAACAATTACTTGTTTTACAGATTTTTACCTCTATACCACCCAAAATATATTAAAGAACACCCGTTTCTTTCATATTACTATAGTTACTCTGTCATGCGACTATAGTAATATGAAAGAATCTGGTGTTCTTTAACTTATTTTCAATATTATATTTTGAAATCACTTTGTTAGTTTAAATCAATGAATTTATGGCTGAACTGTGTCTGTTATGAATTTTTCTTGTGTACGATATACACATACATCTATTGGGGGTTCAAATCTCGGGGGGTGGGTGGGGGCAAGTTCCGTCATTTTGCTTTCAGTCACATCTTTGCTGGAGCAAGTAGGAGTGTCAAAGTGTCAGTGTAACTGTGAAGTTAAAATGGAACGTGTCACAAATATTTCAAACACCATTGGCTGACTTTGATGTGTCATACGTACAGTTGTCTCAAAGTAAAAGCTTGGTCTCTGCATGTACCATCTTTATTCCTCATTTTCGGTTGTGTCAGATCTCAGATAACTCGAAATATTTATGTAGGTCCTTTCAACTTCAACACATCAGTGTTTGTATTTTTTCAACTGGCTAAAAAGTAACCTGTAGAACAAGTCACTAAATTGATCTGGCCTCATGGTATGTCATCAGCATATGTAGTCCTGGGTCCACTGGCATAAAGCAATCTTAACGCTAAGATTATCGTAACTCCCATACTTTAACATAGGCTTACAACAGTCTTAGCGCTAAGGGCTTGACCGCACAGGTTGTGTTTGCAGGACTCAGACAGGTCTCACAATGCTGGTTTGAGACGAAGGTAAATTTCTTTATTCTCATCATCAGCAATGGTGGCCATGTACAAGATGGCTGTAGTGGGCATTACTTATTTCTCCTGATAGATAGTCATCTTTCTGTATATTATTCACAGCAAACATGCTAAGTGTACAGTTAATATTATCCCCAAACTCCAAACTGATAGATAAGTTGCCCTGTGATTATGTTTTCTCCATTTCCAAACTGTTCGCAGTTCCATAAATGAAGAAATCAAATAATGGGTTTCTCCTCGGTTTGGTTTGGTTCTTTTTCTAGGACATAGACTACAAATTTTCAGTTTTGGTGGCGCATAGAAGAATGTCCTGTCAAAATATGCTAAAATCATGAAAATCCGAATGGCATTTGTCTCCACAGACCTTATCCGTGCAGTAGTTCAGAATTTCCTATTGACTACAATCTGCAATGTATGGCAGAGAAACTACTGAAAATTATGTAGAGCAATGTCCTGACTGTGAGTCAGCTTGCAAATTTAGCCATTGGGACCAGAAGGCTCAGCTGAATAACGACCCTGCATTAACTCTAATCTCCACTGATAAAGATGCCAAATGCCATGCTTGGGCCAGCAGATTCTACATCTTGACCCACATTTGTAGATGGTCATGGCGGCTCTGAATGTTAGTTTGAAGCAGCCAATAGATGTAGAATCTGATCATATGATCTTCCACCTGCATTAACGTTGTTAGCTATAACCAGCTTGTCTTTCATCAATGTTCAACTTGTGATAATATAAGAACGATAGTGTCCTGTTCTTTACATGTTGTCGTCGTCGTCGGTGTTGTGCAAGCCCTGTATGTGCCAGACATAATCAGCAGCAGGAGGATAAGATTTCCACTGTTTTCATTGGCCGAGAAGTGGTCACATGTCATTCATTAGATAATAAAACCGTTAAGGTATAATGTGTGTCCCCTCCGTGATATTGTGCAAATATTATAGGAATATGCCAAATAAATATACTACTCAAAAGAAGTTACCTAAAACATGATTTTTTCCATATGACTAACTAACCTGTTATGGCTGGTGGTATTGCAACAAACAGCCTTCCAATTGTTGGTGTTCTTTAACTTGTTTTGAGTAGTATACATACTGATAGACAGGCAATCTCATTAACGTCAGATCTTTCACTCTGATATGCCATAGATACCTCTCTGTGTGAAGCCCTGGGGACACTTCCATCGGGGGTGGCGTCACATGAACCCAAGCAAACTTTGACCGTCCAATCGAAATGAAGGATCGAGCCAATGGTTTTTGAGGCAATCAGATGACAGCTTTCCAAAGCAAATTGGCTTCATTTCTTTACTGCCTCAATTTGGAAATTTCGACATTAGCAAATGAAATGCACACAGAACACAAATATACCCTTGATAGTACAACCTTTGGGTGTAGATACCATGGTGCTCAGAAACAGCAGGATGAGTAAATTATCAACAACGGAACATGGCTTTATGTAATTGCATTTGGAACTCCATGATCATATTCGTTTTCAAGATACAGAAATTAAATATGCTTGTCTGAATGCTTCGTTCACTTGTACCACAAATTAGAACCTTCACATGAAGAGAGTCTTAGAGACCTATTGAGGTGTTCTATCTTCAAGAAGGGGTATCAGAGTGAAAGATGTAATTTTTATGACATTGGTAAGCAGGTAGAAATACACAAAAGTCTGTACTTGTACATAAAATACATACTTTTAAACTTTGATAGAGATAATAACTTCTGTTAGATATATTTAAATACACACTTGACATATTATGAGATTTTTTTTTGTGTATCATGGAAAGAAAAATATATCCCCATCAAAAGTGGATTAGTACCGGTACATATGTACCCGGGCACTTAGGGTAATGAATGGGAGTAAGAAACATGGGATAGAAACGTGCAATATTTGTATTGATGGTGATAATCAGGAAAAGATGTATGTATAAAGTCCTCTACATGTTAGATATGTTGTGTCTGATGTTGTCAAGATACAGTACTAGTGCATTCTATATGTTGGTTGGTTTGTTGGTTTGTTGTTTTACGCTGCATTCAGCAATATTCAAGCTATATGACGGCGGTCTGTAAATAATCAAGTCTGGACCAGATAATCCAGTGATTGACATCATGAGCATCGATCCACGCAATTGGGATCGATGACAAGCATCAACCAAGTCAGCGAGCCTGACCACCCGATCCCGTTAGTCGCCTTTTACGACAAGCACAGTCGCCTTTTACGGCAAGCATGGGTTGCTGAAGACCTATTCTTCCCCGGAATCTTCACAGGTCGCATTCAATATGTACAATTGACTTATATCTTGATATGGAGCCATTTGTTGTATCCATGGTTTGTCATTCAAGTTGATACAAAGTTTGACGGTCAATGGTGATCTGGTTCCCGTATGGTTTTAAAAAATCGTCTCCTGACACTCGGTTGTGTTTACATTGTCAGTCATTGTTCGAAACTGAAACACCGCCACCTTGCGGGCTTTTTATAGTCAGGGTGGGGCTTTAAGGCTTTGCACAGGAATAACTTGATCGGTCTGTTCTGTAGTCTCTGAATGGATGGTCTCAAGCCTGTGGTCTGTGAATGAAGCTTTATTGTGAAATGTGATCAATTTCATTTTATTGTAAAGATGTTGTGATAAAGTTTATTCTATGTGCTTTGTTATATGTGTCATTCTCATGTAGTGCTTTTGATTTTTTAATTCTATGCAAACTTTATCTGATGCTCATTGTAAATACACTGGTTTGTCTATTCTGAATAAAATAAGGTGCTTAATAATTGATTTTGTTGGCTTGTTATTTTAAATTTCTGATTTGTCACTTACACTACTCAAAAGAAGTTGAAAAACACCCAGTTCTTTCATCTTACTATAGTTAATCTGTCATCAGTATGGATGGTGGAAAGCTTGATCTATGAAACAACAACAATTACCGTATTCGACATAATAAGCGCCCAGGGTGCTCTCAAAATTAGAAATAGGGGGCTCTTATTAGAATGTTATTTTGGTGAAAAAAACAGAGTTGAAAGATAAATTTTGTGCTTTATGCTGACAGCCTGAAATGTTTATGTACGACAGATATATTTTTCCAGAATTAAATGCCCATAATTAATGGTGCATATAACACACTAGTGCGTATTATACGTGACTATATAAGTCTTGTGTACATTGATCAATCGGAAGGGGTACTAATTGGGATTGTTCACTCGCCAATATCTTAGCAAATGTCTTAGCTTATAAGAGCGGGGCGCTTATTACGTCGAATACGGTAAGTCTTGTTACAAATCAAATTCTTCCAAGTTTCATGACAATGTTTCTTTGTTTTTTAACGCCGCACTCAGCAATATTTCAGCTATGTGACGGCAATCAGTAAATAACTGCGTCTGGACCAGACAATCCAGTGATTGACAACATGAGCATCAAACATTGCAATTGGGATCCATAACATGCATCAACCAAGTCAGCGAGTCTGACCACCCGATCCCGTTGTGGCAAGAATGGGTTGCTGAAGACCTATTCTACCCCGAATCTTCACATGACAATGGCATTAAATGTGCATGCATACAAGTGGAAAGTTAGAAAGTCAACAGACCGCCTCCGTGGTCTTGTGGTAGAGCGTCCGTCCCGGAGAGTGGAAGGTCCGGGGTTCAATCCCCGGCCGTGTCATAAAAAAGACGTTAAAATATTATACTTGTTACCGTCTGGCGCTAGGCATTAAGGGGCTAAAACAAGGACTGGTCGGCTCGGAGTCAGTATACTGTGTCTGAGTGGGGTATTCATGTTAAACTGTGGCATGGTATCTCAGTGTGCTAGCGCTATAAATCGGCATCAGTCCGGACTAGTACAAGCAGCTACACACACACACACACACACACACACACACACGTCCATGCACGTCGCTATATAAGTGCAATAATCTTGGACGCGACGTTAAACCCAATTTCACCTCACCTAGAAAGTCAATAACCAATTGAACATAGTTCCTTCTTTTCGTGCCTCTTTAAAATTCCCAGCGACTACTTCTGATCATCTCACCAGACACTGGGATTCTGTTACAAACAGCACACAACAACATGGGGGCCACCCCAGGGATTTGAAGTTTGTTGTTCACTACTTTGAAGGAATCTTAACATGAAACATGTTAATATACACAAAGAAAAAGTTAAGCACACCCCTATTTCTGAACCATGACAAATGGCAAAAATCATGGCATGGGATGACTGACCACAGGAGCTGGGCGATACCAATGTCATCAGATAGAACAAACATTTGACAACAAATAAAGAAGATATTGGTGAGTTGTGATTGAAATTTACTGACAAAATCATCATGGTAATCCAGGTACTGTTTTTGACCTTAGACAATACCTCAAAAAGTATGGAGCTGCAGGATTAATTAAAGTAGCAAGAGGGTGGTTGTCAAAATGAGGAACGACGACTGGCCTCAAAACGTCCCGGATGTACTGAGCCCCCTGTTAAGTTGCCCCTTATGGTGACCAAATCCAACCTGCAATCATGAGAGATACACCCCCAAACCATCACCGAGTCCCCGCCCTATGCAACAGTCGGTTTAATGTTCCTGGGGGTGTAGGCCGTGTTCCGGTGCCTCCAAACTATAGTTCTTCCATCAGTGACGTGGAGCAGAAAGCGCATTTCGTCTGAACAATGGATCCGTCTCCAAGTTCTCAGATTCCAGTTCTGTCGCGCAATACTCCATGCTAAACGAGCAGCTTTGTGGTGATCTCTCAACAAGGGACGCTTTATGACTCGTCTTGCCCTCAGTCCTGCTGCTTTCAGCCGGTTCCTGACGGTTCTGGTGCTGAAACGACGATTGGGCAACCACAGCTGTTTCAGACGAGTACTTGTTAAAAAGATTGTTCTCGGCGTATGAGACGAAGGTCCCTGTCTTCGCTATGTGTCGTCACAGGAGGTCTTCCGGATCTGGGACGGTCCTGTACATCACCGGTCTGAGCATGTTTCTCGACTAAAGGGACAGTGTGATGATACCCCAAATTCCGACCAATGGCATTACAAGACATTCCTGCGTTATCTATGCCGATTATTTGCCATCTTGTGGCGTTTGATAATCGCCTTCATGCCATGGTCACACAATGTCATGGAATAACTGTTTAAAACCGAGATTAAGAAAGTGATTGGGTGAGTTACGATTTTAAGTCACATCGGCAATATTTCAGCCATATCGTGACTTTCAAAGGTTATACATAATAAATACATTTAAACTATAAAAAACCTGTCAACAAGGGACAGTAAGATAACTAGACTTATCACAGATTATAATTTAAAACTAGCATGGAATCATAAAAATACATCACTAGACAGAACAATACATTATAAAAAAGAGCTATAGATCGCCAGCAACTGAAGGTAGATCGCCAGCAACTGAAGGTAGATCACCATACTGGGGACCATGGGGACTTACAGTATCTTTGCTACCTGCATGGACCCCAGCAGGATTAACATCATCCCTTCAGTTGTTGGCGACGATTAGGAAATTTAGCCGAATTTAAAAGAACACACATTCTACGATTACAACTAAGATAGGAATAACGCACTTCGATTTCAATTTCTTTTAAAAAGGCAATAATTAAATGGTAAAAAGATCCTTAAGAGATGATGATTTGAATAGTTATCCCTTGTGATGGAAAAATCAACACAGTCAAGCAGGACATGCATGACTGTGATTCTTTCATCACTAGGGATGCAAAACGGAGTGTCTTCACCTTTAAGTAAATATTCATTCGTAAATCTGCTGTGGTCAATACGACATCGTCGTACAATGACCTCTTCAAATCTGGACTGACAACCCAAGTAGGTGTAACCGATAGTTGGTTTTATGGCATGTAATGTATCAATACCTACTTGGGTGTCCTCTGATGTAATATCTTATTACAGGTTTATAATAGTTGTGTGGAAGCAGAAGTGATGTCACAGATTTGTTGAGTGCTGCTTTAGCTGCAGCATCAGCCATTGTGTTACCAGTGATTCCAACATGGCTGGGTAACCAACAAAAAATGATGTCGTATTGGCCAGTACCAAGATCATTAAACAATTCAACAGTTTTTATTAAAAGGCGATGTGTACAAAAACTGCCCGAAGGCAAGAAAGTGAGTCTGAAAATATAATAAATTGTTTATGCTTTGAGTGTTTATTTATATATTCAAGTGCTGTTAATATGGCCTTTGCTTCGGCCGTAAAAATGGAACAGTTGTCTGGTAGTCGTTGCGATATTGTCTTGGATCCAATGACAGTGGCGCTGGCTACAGCATCACCATCCTTGGATCCATCTGTAAATATGGATTTATAGGTATTGTATAATGATCTTAAATGATTGTATTCTTGTTGATAAATTAGTTCATTTGTTTCAGATTTCAATTTAGTTAAGGTTAGGTCCACCTCAGGTCTAATAACCTGCCATGGTGGAGAAGATAAAAGCTGAGTTGGGGCTATATTATGTATTTTAGCAGCAGAAATATGAGATTGTAAGTTTAATCCAAGCGGTGGAACAAGAAAGAAGTGAGCAAAGCTCACATACCCCCGTTATCCCCGCTGTGGTCAACAACAAATAGTAAAAAGTATAAAAAACATTGGTAATTTGGCAATAAAATGATAAAATAGGAGAATTTGAAAAAAATCTTACAGTTTGATAAAAAATAATGAAAATAATAGAGTACTTTGGCTATTTTTTCCCAGTTTTTCAAAGTAATAATAGTTTATATTAATGGAAATTTGAATATTTTAGAATTTTCATGTATTTGCTCAATAAGTTTTTTTTGGTTACAATAAGCTATATGATGGTAAACATTTAACATGCAAAACAGAGGACAGATAAACTATAAGCAATATGCAGTACAATTGATGTAGAATTGTGACATTAAAAGAGTTTTACACTCGAAAGTTAGTTTGACTGTGGAAGAGCAGAGTGGTGATCGTTTAGCCATGGGAGATAGGTACATGCAGAATGAACGCTATAGGTATATGCAGAATGAAAGCTGGGTATGTTAAGCAAGAGTATGAAGCAGAATGTGAAGGTTATGATGAAGCATCTATATAATATCTAAGTAATGTTGATCAGAATATGGTTACATATTTCTAACTGATTTTAACTTCAATGTTTTACAAACTAAGATTGAGATCCAGTGACAACTGACCCCCCCCCATCCCCCATCCCCCAAATCTCCCATGTTACCAGTGTTCACTACGAGGAAGTAGATCACCATGAACACCTTTGAATAAAAAAATGATTGATGAGCTACATAAGAAGAATTATCAAAAGGACCAAAATATTTTGATATAAAAACACATAATTGGAAGTTTATGACTTAAAAAATGGAACAATATCATATAGGAAAATCAATAAATTGATAATTTCCATCTAACCTTAACAGATATGGTAAAGAACTCATAAATTCAAACTAACACAAAGCACAGATACTTATGATGATCTACCTATGTGGTTGGTTGGTTTGTTGCTTAACGCCGCACTCAGCAATATTCCAGCTATATGACGGCGGTCTGTAAAAAAAATCAAAAAAATCGAGTCTCCACCAGACAATCCAGTGATTGATATCATGAGTATCGATCCACGCAATTGGGACCGATGACATGCATCAACCAAGTCAGCAAGCCTGACCACCCGATCCCGTTAGTCGCCTTTAACGACAAGCATAGTCACCTTTTACGGCAAGCATGGGTTTCTGAAGACCTATTCTACCCCGGAATCTTCACGGGTCTCTGCATGTGTGGAAACAATTTTGGAAAAT